TACAGGCCTGCTTTGACCACACAGACTGGAGTGTATTTGAGACTGTAGCTACAGACCTGGATGAACTCACTGACACACATCTTATATCAGCTTTTGTGAGGATGTGTGTGTGCTCAAAAAGTCCTTCTGCACATACAACAACAATAAGCCCTGGTTTACAGCCAGACTCAAGCAGCTTCATTGTGCCAAAGCGGAGGCTTACAGATGTGGAGACAGGACTGTGTACAGCCAGGCCAGGAACTCACTGACAAGGGAGATCAAAACAGAGGAGCTATGATCTGTGAAAAGGATGTGCGTGGCCTCTTTAAAAAACAAAGGATCAGAAAGGCACTAGGCCCAGATGTGTGACCCCCTCCTGTCTGAAAGTGTGCGCTGATCAGCTGGCCCCCATCTTCACACTTATCTTCAACAGGTCACTGGAGCTGTGTGAAGTCCCCTCCTGCTTCAAACGCTCCACCATCATTCCAGTCCCGAAGAAAATCCTCATTAGTGGACTGAATGACTACTGACCTGTCGCTCTGACATCTGTAGTTATGAAGTCCTTTGAAAGACTGGTGTTGACCCACCCAAAGGACATCGTAGACCCCATGCTAGACCCCCTGCCATCTGAAAGTGTGCACTGATCAGCCGCCCCCCACCTTCACACCTATCTTCAACAGGTCACTGGAGCTGTGTGAAGTCCCCTCCTGCTTCAAACGCTCCACCATCATCCCAGTTCCCAAGAAACCCTCCATCAGTGGGCTGAACGACTACAGACCTGTTGCCCTGACATCTGTAGTTATGAAGTGCTTTGAAAGGCTGTTGTCGGCCCACCTGAAGGACATCATAGACCCCCTGCTGGGCCCCCTGCAGTTTGCCTACCAGGCAAACAGGTCAGTGGATGATGCAGTGACCATGACACTGCATTACATCCTGCAACACCTCGACTCCCCAGGGACCTATGCTCGGATCCTCTTTGTGGACTTCAGCTCAGTGTTCGACACCATCATCCCGGACATCTTCCACTTCAAACTGACCCAGCTCATTGTGCCTGGCCCCACCTAGCGGTGGATTACTAGTTTTCTGACAGACAGGAAGCAGCAAGTGAGGCTGGGGAAAACCACATCCAGCACCCAGACAATAAGCACAGGCACCCCCCAGGGATGTGTGCTCTCCCCTCTGCTGTTTTCACTCTACACCAATGACTGCATCTCGAAGGACC